AGACGTCTATTTAGGGCTAATAAAAACTGCAGTTGTGACAATAAAAAAAAAAAACACGCAAAAAGAAAAAAAAAAAAGACTAGCAACTGTGGCTACATTGATTGAGCGAAATCCTACAGGCAAGGCAGCTAGTCAAACGTCTGAGAAAGTGGTAAAACCTAAATAAAAGCGATCATACTTTTACTTGCATGGAATGTGATAAAAAGTATATTTATACTCTTTACATTTTGTTGTGGCAATCGTTTTGTAATATTACCACATTACTTGTTGAATTTTAGTTAGATTAGCGGACGATCACGACCGAATGCAAAAATGAATCAGGTGTCGACATAGCAAACCCTCGCTCTAATGCAAACACCTAAAATGACTTTGGAACAACAAATGGAATTCATTATATTAATTACATTTATGATCCAAAGTCATTTTAGGTCCCTCACTCTAATGCAAACTCCTAAAACGACTTTGGATCAACAAATCGAATGAAATGATTGTATTAGCGCGTTAATTTGCGTTCATCTTTTATTTTTTTTTCTTCCCGATGTTTCGATTGAACAGGTGGGACTAACAGAAAAAAACCGTGTAAGGCGCAGTAGTGCAAGTGGATGATTTCCTAAAAAGGATCACGGCTAAAAAGTAAGACGCTCACAAAATACTAAAAAAAAAGGAAAAAAAAGAAGTCCCTAGCGCGTATTGAACCCGGAACTTTCACGCCGCGACGACAAGTACCGGCGCTTAAACCTCTCGACCATAGCAGCAAGAGCAAGGATCCTGCGCCGGCGGAGGTAGATAAATATACTGCCACCGCTTTTATCTCCTGTGGTTTCTTCTTTATTTTGGCTCCTATCTACCCTCCCTGGCCGTAACTTTACATGCCGCTCCTACAGTATAAAGGGGCGGTCAATTAGATTTCCAGATGAAACTCCCTGCAATCAGTTTCTGCGAGCGAAATTAGGCTTTTGTGCTTGAAGCGATGCGGATCACTCCGCCATAAGGCAGGGACGCTAGGTACTTCCTTGTCCCCATGGAGCTGGTCACGTGACGTAAAAATCCCTCCTGGCCGCAGCCGCGACCGCAGCCGCAAGATGAGCAAACCGGACCAGGAAAATATCTTGTCGCACTGCGAGGCGAACACACGAGCACTACGCGGTGTTATTTCTTCGCTTCACGCCATGTGCATGATATTTTGCTGACGCTCACTATTGACATTGACCGAAGAAATAAACGCAAAATCACTCGTTGACACATCTTCACAGAGAAGGAGGAGGACATTGCTGTCTTTGTTTTTCTAGCGTAGGTGTGGCTTTGGCTTTTGGTGTTCCATGTTTGCAGATAAACTTTTTAGCGTCAACTCTACCCCCTTCGTGGTGATCAACTGGGCTTATATCAAGCTCCTCAGAAACTGCAATTATGCAAAGTGCTTTTGTTTCTGCTTTTGCTTTTTGCATCTTTAGATTGCGTTAAGAAAAGCCTATAACGCTAGACTAATGCGGACTGTGCAGGTGAATTAAACGGCCAGGGGGACATGGTATAAAAGGCTAATTGCCACGGTAAGTCTGGTAATTAACTGCTGTTTTATGATTACCTTTTGGATTAGTCAACAAAACATATATGGTTTCAAATATAAATTTGCTGTGTGTCACTAAAATCACTAAGTTGTTAAATTTAAGAGGATTTATAGCGCGTGGTATGTAAGCTGCAACGGAAACAGTAGCACAAGGGCCCGATGACCCGAGCGGCAAAATCGCGACATGCGGTGCTATTGTTCGCGAGCGCGCCCATAGCGAGGGTGCCAGTCACGTTCAATGTCCCAACAAGGGGGTGGCCGGCAGAAAATTGAGGGGCAAGATAGCTTTCGAAATGGGGGGTGGGGGGGGGGGGGCTTTAGGATGGGCTGCTTTCTGCCGGCCACCCCGCGTTGAGACGAGGAACGTGACAGGCACTCTCGCTAACGGCGAGCTCGGGTACAATAGAGCCGCGTATGGCGATCTTGCCACTCCGGTCATCGGTCACTTGTGCTAATCTTTTTTCGTTGCAGCTGTGCGCCAGTACGGTAAAGTCACCACTTGTGCTACAGTCGCAAGGCTGGCTGGGCAAAACAAAAAACTCACCATCCGCGATAATTACCCGATTTATCATAATGATTCGCCCCTCCTTGTGTGTTCATCTTATCGTATAACTCACCCGCACATGCCGCATTAATGATACTTCTATTGTTTTTTGTTTTGTTTTTTTAAACAAATAGTTAAAGCTCCTAAACCAGTACCCTGTGTATTTGCTGTTTCTGCATAGGGACATTCATTAAATCTTTCTTAGGTTTTGAAACATTTTTAGATTACTGGGCTCTTGTCATTCTTGTGCCCTGATCATCATAATTCCTTTTGCATTGCACGATTTCTTGCATAAAGTTTTATTTCTTTCAACGAGTTGGGGCATACGGCGTATTTTTTGTAGCAATGATCAGGGCAGAGTATTGCCAATTTTTCCCTTTATGAAAGTTGTGCAGAGTGGTCACCAAACGTATCTATAACACGCGAACGGTTCCTTATCTTATAGACCCTTTCAGGCAACGTTTCATGGGCGCCGCCATCTTGGCGTCACGTGACCCTGCCGCCATAGCCGCCCTTCAGTTTCTCGCCATTCCTCCGCGTTGTGTGCTGCACCGGCCGCTACCGGAGCTTTGTTTTCGCGTTCTTTTACGTTCCGCGTTGAAATCGTGTGGTTTCTTTAGGGTCTTTTCGATATTTCGGGCTTTCATTTAATCATTTGATATCTATATTTCAACATAGCTCTTGTATTTCCTTATTTATGCAATGGAATCGGACAGCGAATGGATCGACGATACAAGATTATGGCTTCAGAGACCATGTAAGTTCGTTCCAATCTAACGTTTTTCTCGCTAATAAAGGGAAGTCAACACCATTGCGACATATTCAAATTTCAACTGACGCAGTAAGGCTATCCAGTCGTGCTACTCGCTGCATATGCGCGCTCGTTTCCGTAAAGCCAACCCGCATGTAAGCGACTTAGCGTGCGACGAGACGAGCGACGGCGACAACGACGAGAGTCAGCGACGAAGATTTCTCACTGTCGCCTGTTGCATCGCTCGGTTTTTTTGGGTTTCTAGAAAACGTCGCTCGCCGTCTATGTCGCTTGCTCCCGTCGCTTCCGTGCGGTTTGCCTTGTCGCGCGACTGACCGAGCGACAGCGAAGCGGGTCACCGTCGCTTGTCTCGTTGCTCGCCAAATCGCTTGCATACGTTTTATACTTAATATCGAGGCGCTAATGGTTCAATGATGTGTGCATGGAAATTAATTGAGTATAAACCGCATGTAAGCGATTTGGCGAGCGACCAGATAAGCGACGGCGACCCGCTTCGCTGTCGCTCATTCAGTCGCGCGACGAGGCAAACCGCATGGAAGCGACGAAATAAGCGACCAAGAAGGTGAGCGACGTTTTCCAGAAATCCCAAAATCGAGCGATGCGACGGGCGACAGTGAGAAATAGCCGTCGCTCGTCTCGTCGCACGCTAAATCGCTTACATGAGGGTCGGCTTTAGGGAAACGAGCGCGCACATGCAGCGAGAAGCACGACTGTGACGTTGCAATTTACATATTTCGCAATAGTGTTGACTGCCCTTTATTAGCGACAAAAACGTAAGAATGGGATGAACTTACATGGTCATTGAAGCCTCATAATCTTGTATCGTCGACCCATTCGCTGTCCGATTCCATTCCATAAATAAGAAAATACAAGAGCTATGTCGAAATATAAATATCAAATGATTACATGAAAGTTCTAAATAGCGAAAAGACCCAAAGAAAGCGCAAGATTTCAACGCGGAACGTAAAAGAACACGAAAACGGAGCTCCGGTAGTGGCCCGTGCAGCACACAACGCGTAGCAACAGCGAGAAACTGGAGGTCGGCTATGGCGGCCCGGAAAGCGCGCGAAGGGCGCGCCGACTGGTGGCAGCACGAGTAACTGACTCGCTAAAAGCGTCTATAGAAGTGCTATACTGGCGGCAGCCGAAAAATTTCTTTATGTCGGTGCGCTCAACGGTCATATTATCTACCTAATATATTTAACAACCTACATGACCGGTTTGTTTTTTATTAAGTCAAAACGAAAGCATAAGAATCAGCTACAAAACTTAGAACAGCAAGTCTTACTTTTTTATGCAATTTCTCTTGTTTTTGTTCCTATAATCGGAAAACACTGTATATACATTATTTTAAATCTACAGCGTCACACTGTGAATGTAATTTTTTTGTGCCTGTAATTTTCTTTGTTCTTTCGCAGTTTTCGCTTCGAGGATCGCTGGTTTCCGACCCGCAAGTGTAGCTCAGCGCTATCAATTGCACATATAGGGGAGCGGTTAGCCGTGCAAAAGATGTTTCTTCACGAGGGCTCCCGCGAGTGAGGTCCCTCAACTCGGCTGTTTGTATTTGTCTGGGGTAGGAAGTGAAAATCATAAGTTCGAAACTGCATGCGAATAATAATGTTGGGACCGGTCATAACGTGTAATTAATTATCTCTTAACTGTTGTTTTTCCGCATATTTCCAATACATGTAAATAAAAAAATAGAAAGCGTTTTTGTGACGGTAGCTATGATGAATTATGGTGTTGCTGGTTTTGGGAAAAATACCGAATAACTTTATTTGATGATTACAATACGCAAGAATTTAAGGGGTTCGTGCCACTGGTTTTCTTGTGGCTCCTGACATAATTCTTTTTAATTATAGTTATGTTTAATTTATTTACTTCATTCTTTGTCGCCCAAATCAATTGCGCCGTATTTCAACATGGAAGCCGAAACACGAAAACGATTTACATAAACGATAAAAACTTGCAATTTTGTGGTTCACACATCTTGAATGTAGTATCAACATTACCCGATAACTCGTCTTCTTGAAACAACTCGAATTTCGCTTCTATTCCGCAGGTTCCACGCAACCGCCGAATGCGAACTTGGGACCAGTTGTTACGCTCCCCTGTAGAAGATGAGGTGCCTCTGCATGTCCGGATTCTCCGATGCTCTGGACTGGAGGCCCCTCTTCTTCCGAGAGTCCTTCGGCGCACACAGCGCATGCGCCCTCTGTGGCCTGCTGTCGAAGAAAGCGGTCAGACTGCCCTGTGCCCACACGCTCTGCTTGGAATGTCACGAGGAGTCCGAGAGGCAAGGGGGGTCTTGCCCACTCGATGACGAGTCCTTCAACGACGATGACATTGTTCGACTCGATATTTCGGGTGACTACATGGAAAAGAGCATGGTAAGAACCTTTTAAGATTACGTTTGAGGAAATATCAACATAGTGGTGTGACGTTATAATTCCTTGAATACCCGACTGTACTTCAGATTAAAAGCCTTCTTGTCCTTTTCCCGACTCACAAGACTCAGGCAGAGCGGAAGTCTGTTCGAACATCCGGTGTGCCCGGTGGTGCTCGAGAAGCTTACAACTCGCCCCTTACGCTGAGTGAGCTAGAACGGGTGCTGCATGAAGTTAAACCTACGGCTGCCGGACCAGATGGAATTCATTATTACATGCTTACACATCTCCACTCCTCTCCACTTGACATAGTCCTGTATTTGCTTAATTGCATTTGGCACGAGAGCACATTTCCATCCTCATGGAGAGTGGCCACTGTTATCCCTTTGCTAAAGCCTGGAAAAGATGCATCATGCGCGACCAGTTATCGCCCAATAGCGCTAACAAGCTGTCTTAGTAAGACTCTGGAGAGAATGCTGAACAAACGACTCATGTATTTTTTGGAAAAAGAAAATATCCTTGACAAATACCAGTGTGGGTTTCGTGTGTCACGGTCTACAATGGATCATTTAGTTCGTCTGGAGACTACTATTCGTGAGGCTTTTGTAAATAAGCAGCACTGCCTGTCGGTTTTCTTCGACTTGGAAAAGGCGTACGACACGGCATGGCGTCATGGCATCCTGCAAGACCTGTATAGTTTTGGCATTCGTGGTAGAATGCTAGCATTCGTCAAGAGCTATCTGGGAATGCGTACCTTCCGTGTTAAATTGGGCACTACTTACTCTAGAGAGTTCCGCCAGGAAAATGGCGTTCTTCAGGGAGGCGTTTTGAGTGTGACCCTTTTTATAGTTAAAATGAACTCAATAGCTCGGGCCATTCCACCATCTGTACAGTATTCACTCTATGTTGACGACCTTCAGATATCCCTCTCATCCTGCAACCTTGCTTTGTGCGAACTAAGGGTCCAACTAGCAATTAACAATTTGCTCAAGTGGGCAGACCAGAACGGCTTCAGCTTTTCACCTGAAAAAACAGTGTCTGTTTGTTTTTCTCGCCTACGGGGAACTTCAGTGAAGCCCTCGTTGACCATGCGATCCGCTTCAATTCCAACGAAACCTGAACATAAATTCCTAGGGCTTATTTTTGACAGCAAATTGACTTTTCTTTCGCATATCAGATATCTCAAAGTAAAATGCCAAAAAGCACTAAGGATCCTTAAGGTGCTTTCCCACACCTCCTGGGGCTCTGATCGTCTCTGCCTCCTCCGAATTTACAGATCGGTGATTCGCTCGCGCCTTGATTATGGTAGTAGTGTGTATGGATCGGCAAGGCCTTCAGCCATATACGAATGCTTGACCCTATTCATCACCAGGGACTGCGCCTGTCTACAGGTGCATTTCGCACGTCGCCTATCCCCAGCCTTTTCGCAGAGTCAAATGAATGGTCTCTGGAGAAGCGAAGGTTTGCTTTAGGGTTTATGTATTCGCTTAGAATTCGTTCGGTTCCCTTGCACCCTTCCCGAGAAGCTGTTGAAGAAATGAGATATAAACGTACTTTTGACATCAAGCCCACTCTAATACCACCTTTTAGTATGAGAAATGCACCCAAAGCAGATTCAATTGGACTGAGTAGTACAATGCCCGTCACTCCTGTTCCACAAACTGTTGCTCCGTGGGACCACTGCCTCATTTCCTGTGACCTTTCACTAACAAAAATTAAAAAGAAAGAAACTCCACCAGAATACATAAAAGAGGAATTTTTTGAGCTTCAGAGTAGATATTCTGGACACAACTCATACTACACGGATGGTACTAAGACAGAATCGTTTGTTGGATGTGCTATGGTCGGCCCCTCTGTTCGCTGTGTAAAACGGATTGCGTGTACAGCCACTATTTTAACAGCAGAGTTATGTGGTCTCCGTCTTGCAGATGATCATATTGTAAAAACAAAGAGCAGGCAGTCAGTCGTGTACACTGATTCACTGAGTTCTCTGCGCTCACTCTTATCATTAAAGACTTCGAAAAACCAATAATCATGGACTTACGGAATAAAATTATCGATGCTTCAAAAAGGAATATTAAAATAATTTTATGTTGGGTTCCTAGCTATGTTGGTATACCCGGAAATGAAGAAGCGGACCTTGCTGCCAGTTCTGCTGGTGAGCAAGAAGTGGACCTGCATGACATTCCATACAAAGACTATAGCACACTTTTAAAGCATTGTATTAGAAGGAAGTGGCAACAAGAATGGGATGAAGAAGTTAATAACAAGCTCCATTCTGTAAAACCATTAATCAGTGAGTGGGAGAGTGCTCGACACCGTGAACGTTTCTATGAGGTTGTCTTGTGTCGACTGAGGATAGGTCATACACACCTTACTCATGGCCACCTCCTGCGCAGGGAAGAGGCCCCAGAGTGTGAGAACTGTTTTAGTCCTCTAACAGTTTTACAAATTTTACTTGAATGCCCAGCGTATGACCAATAACGTCGAAAACATTTTTCTCAATTATATAACGAGCATACGCCTTTACACCTTAGTATTCTACTTGGCAACGACCCACTTGTACCACACAGTTGTGTTTTTAACTTTTTGAGAGCTATCGGTCTTTTACACCGGCTATAATTTTATATTCAACTTCATCTCCATCACTATTTACAAGTCATATACATAGTTTTAATCCACCACAGCTACTAAAGCTCTTTCTCCTCTGAAACCTTCTCTGCAATAGTCTGTATCTGGCGCATCATAGCCTAAGATGCTTTTGCGCCATAAAACCCTAATCAATCAATCAATCAATCCTTTTCCCGACTCATAGTCGTACGTCAGTGATTAGAGCGTTATAGCTATGCGCAGAGCAAGTCGTCTGCTTCTTGCGCAGGGGTTTGTGGTGACGTAAGAACGACAACGAGCTCAGATTGGCTTTGACTGAAAAGATAGTGGGAAGACCTCAATGCTAGATGCCTTCAGATCTACTCACTGTTTTCTTCAATCAGCCAATAAGAGCTCGGCCTTATGACGTTATGGCAACCCCTGTCCTAAAAGGAGACAAACTTGCGCTTCGCATATTGATGGATGAATGCTAACGGCTGTACATATTATATCAGGCGGTAGTTTGCGCCACCTAGCCTAGAAGTTAGGAACGAAAAGTAATTTGTTTCCTTCGCCTATAGCTTACCCTCTGCTGCTTCGTAACTACCACCAGGCGGTGTGGGATATCAACAAGAGGACCTTTGGGGCATCGGGAAAAAAAAAAGCTAAAAACACTATCTCCCCCCCCCCCCTCCCCCCTCTTTCCCCCGTCGAGGGTGTCGGCAATTTTTCTCTGGTCATACCTAGTCGGCGTTACGCCGGCACGGGGACCATCGGGAGACAAGGTGGAGAATTCCGACAGGAGCCACGCGAGAGGGAGTCCCAATCCTCCTCTGTTGCTGTTCCCAGCTATTTCAGTTAGTTGTACGTAATTCAGTTCTCTCTATGTGTCCCTGCACTCTTTATTTTGTGTATTCTAATGCGCCCCCAGTCCCCGTCTGCCGCAGCTCATCTGCCAGGTCTCTAAGCTCGACTGGACCTCAGATTTCACGCATAATAGCGCATTGCCAAAAGACAACCCCAGCATTATGACTCCTTTTCATATTCCCCTGACAACTTCATATCTATTGTAATTCTATAGTGCCCTAAGTTTTAGAATTGCCTCGTTAAGTTTTCTTTCTTTAGCATATTTTCTTCGTGCCCTTCTAAGCATTGGTGTCCCTCATTCAGCCATTCTCCTAGGTATTTCTACTTCCCTACGTGTTTAACTGAAACATCTTGAACTTTAAGCGGGTCCCTATTCTCATCCTTATAAGCAAGTATTCCCGACTTGTGGGTACTGAATTCCAGGTCTATAGTCTCCTTCCTCTCCACAGATCTTAATCAGCTCCTGTAATATATCCCGGCTATCTGCTAACAATACGATGTCGTCTGCGTAGAACATTCCTGGTATAACTTAGTTTACCTTTTCCTCTCTCTCAATAGGACTTATCAGAACCGAAATTGACCTTTTCTCATTTCTTTTCCATTTTGTTTAGGTATATTATAAAAATTAGATGTGATAGGGGACAGCCCTGCCCAAGTCCTCTTTTTATTAGTGCCGGTTCAGTTATTTCTGCTTCCCGTGTTATAACAACCTCATTATTTCTGTATACCTGTTTTTAAAGTCTAATCAAATGTGCACCTATATTATACATTCTAAGCTATATCCAGGGTTTTTCCTGACTCACATAGTCGTACGCCTCTTTAATATTTAGGAAGGCAATTCGTAACGGTTTTGTACTCCTCCGTGCCACCTCTATACATAGAGTGATGCTGAGCAAGTTATCTGATCTTCTTTCTCTTCGGAACCTGTTCTGTAGCTCATCTAAAATATTTTCTGGCCACTCTTCCATTTATATAGTACTTCCATTCACTAGTCTGTGTACGACTGAAGTTACTCTTATTGGGCAGTATGAATTTATGCCATCCTTATTTCCCTTGCCTATATATAGTCATCTCGTTCTGCTTAGTTTCCAATCATTGGATGCTTCTCTCCCCCACCCACCTTAATATTGGAACAGTTGCTTGTCGTACCTTTAGTTTGCTTTATGTTCCTAATGTCTTGACTAGTTTCATTCCTAAGCCATCTGGGCCTGTCACCGTTCCAGCAGGTAAGCTGGAACGGCGTGGTCGTCTCAGTTGCCTCGTTAGTGTTCTCGTCTTGTGCCTTGTTGCTGTTCGTATTCTGCCCAATCTCGTTTGGTTCAAGTTCTGAAAATGCTTCCCCAATTGTTCGTCTAATAAATTCCCTTGCCCCCTCGCCCTCTACACTTGTCTCCTCGTGTGCGGTCAATTAACAATGAAACCTTTCTGTTGTTCTCCCCTGTGCATTGATGGGCTCCCAGAACCTTCTTCCTGCATTCCTATCATTTTGATTTACCCCCATCAGGTCTACCCATCTTGGCCTGGATTAAAGCAGGTGACTCTATTTCTATTTCCTGGGATGTATTCTATTTCGATGCTACTTTAACAGGTGTGCCCCCTTTTTTAGGGCCATCTGTGTTTTCTTGACGCCTTTGGTCGTCCTGGACGGCAACCTTAACTTCTGTCTCGAAACATTTTTGGTGTGCGTTTTCTTCTTTTTCCTCCTTGTTTGATTCTTAACTTCCCAAACTCTCTTTTAAAAGTGTTTACTATATTGTCATATATCCATTATCTCTCTAGTTGTCTGGATACTATAGTCACACTTCGATTTGATACTTCTTGTATCTGGGCATCGTTTAGGGTTATGATTTTGTTAGGGAATTTGTGTCTCAAGTTCTGCTCTACCAAACTTTAACTTAAGTCGCTTATAATCACTTCATAAGCTTTTCGTGCCCTCGCAACCAATTTGCATGCGTTCTAATTTGGTATACAATTTGCTGGACATTAAACAGTAATCAATTGTTCAGTGCGGATTGTTTCTCTTCAACGTTATTTTTCCATGGGATTTTACTTGGGCGTTAGCAAGCACTAGTTCAAGAGCATCGCAAAATTCTTGTAGCATCCTCTGTGTGAAATCTGCATATCCGTCGAAGTCTTGGTAAGTGTGCATTCATGTCTTCTAAGATAATTATTTCCCGATTAGTGCCCATTTCTCCAACATCTTTTTAAATACACGTCAAGTGCTGTGCATTTTCTTCTTTAATCAGTTCATCTTTTCAGATATACAAATTCTATGAGGATGTCTAAACCTCTGATATTACCTTTTACACACATATGTTTTCTCCAGCTATATTATATCCTATATTGAGTTTCTTATATTTTCCTCTTCTGCCGAGGCTTCCTCCCACCCTTCCTATTTGCATTTGAACTTTCAGCTACCGGCGGACTGTCGGCTCCTAAAACTCCTTAGCTATACAACCCATCCTCCGCCCCACAGGCGTCCCCGTCAGTTCCCCATAGTGGATGCAGTCTCAGCTGAACGGGAGATTGGTGTCTCTTATTATACGCCCTTGTTAACATTCATGACCTCATATCCGTTCTTACAGCTCAGTCTCTTGATGGTCCTGTTAGCCTCCTAGACAGCTCTCTCTGTGTCAACTCCTAGGCTCCTGACCTCCGGGATGGTGCCATTACAATGTGCACCATCCCAAAGGTTATGAACCTCATCTGCTTCACACCCTCTTCGAAGTGTGGGGCCGGGTCCCTTACCCTTCTACTCGTGACGTCATTCAATCCAGCATGTGTCACCACAAGGTTTTCCTCCCCTTTGTTCAGAGTCAACATGTCTACTTTCGTGTCCATCTCCTCCTCAATCCCCCCGCCTGGTAGAGCTGGATCTTTTACCCTCCCATCTCCCCAACCTTGCTGGAGATATCCACTATGCTCCTAGCCATATTAAAGCTCACTATACCACCAACACTCTTTGCCCCCCTCACTTTTGTTTTTCCTGCATCGCAGGTTTGGTGGCCGTTGGAGTAGGGGGCTGCCGTTGCACCACCGTATTATACAACGGCCCCGCCGCCTTTGCCGCCACACTAGTGTCTATGTCCCCTGATCTCTCGCTCTTTACAACCGGAACTGCATCAACTGATCCTCCCTCTGTCCCCTGTCGTTTCATTTCCTACAGCTCGCATCCCACCCTTTCTAGCTCCTTCTCCACTGCCTCTCGCCCTTCCTTCTCCTTCGTTGACCTCACCTCCATTTGAAATTCCATTGCTTCATGTTTATCTTTATTGAACTTTTGCGTCGCCTTCACGTCCTCCAGCTGCCCTTTCCAGGCCTCCTCTAGCACCTCTGGCTGCTTTTAGAGCGCAGCTCTTAGGCGTCCGTTTCCGCCTTGACCGGCGTCACCGTCGGCGTAACCGCGCGGTGCATTATGGGAAATGCCCTACAATGCACCGCGCGAGCCCCCCCCCCCCCCCCCCCGGGTCACGTGACCTTGGGGGGGGGTCACGTGAGAACCCCCAGGTCACGTGACCCCAGAGATCACGTGCCCCCGCCCCCGAGGTCACGTGAGACTGAAGAGTGAGGGGAGGAGGAAAAGGAGGAGGGGTATACCCTCCCCTGAGTACAGTTCCCTCCTCCTCAAGAGCTGCGCTCTAATTCGGCGTTAAGGGGAGTTGTAAACGGCTTTCATTTTTTCTTTCAGTTAATTCCGTCCGCATATATTTTAAATCCTCCAACTTAACCGCCCAGTCTCTTTCTAACCTCTTAAAACCTGCCCCTAGGTTGTCGAGCTCGGCCCGCTTCTCCTTTTCCCGCCTGAGCTCATCGTTCAGCTCCATGATTTGTGTCCCGGGCACAGCCCGCTTCTCTTTCTCTTCCTTAACTCCCCGTTAAGCTCCTCAAACTTAGCCGCTCGCTCTCCTTCTACCCTCGTAAAACGGACCTCATGATCCTCACAAAGACGGAAAGTGAAGCTACCCGCCACCGGCGTCAGCTAAGGTCTCCAAGACGGTCTTTAAATAGCATCATCTCATGTACTCATCACACTATACCAGGGACGGCCAAAATGCGCCTCGCGAGCCGCATGCCGCTCTTCGCGGGTCCAAGTGCGGCTCGCGGCTCCATGGTAAGCGGGCCCTATCCCCTCCTGTGCCACAAGTTAAATAGTTCTAGGGCGTCAGGGCAGTGACTCGCTAGCACATCACATATTCATTATTGTCTAGCGGTTGAATAAAACTTCTGCCTGGTGTTATTTCTTGTAGTCCGCAATTACACTCGACACCTTTGGAAAGGACTGTTACCTCGACATCGTTTCTTGTTAAAAGTATCCCCCCCCTCTTTTTTTTTCTTGAGGCTTTCTGAACGTTTGCAGTCTTGCCTGCCGCTCTAACCCCATGCCACTCTGGCCACCCCTGCACTATACCAACTCCTCTTTCCCATTACCCTTTCGTTCTTTGCTACTCATCTCCCGCAAAAATCTAAACAAAGCCTGGCCGTCTGCCCACGGTGCCTACACTCACCTAAAGATGCTGGTAGATGCTCCACCGAGTGGCCTGCCTATCGCCCTATCGCTTTATTTGGAACACAAGACCGACCGAGAAAGCAATTAACACGACTACTGACGCTGCCGACAATCCCGCCAAATATTCAAAGAAAGCTCTGCCACGTGATATGGCAAAACAAAATAGGTAGGACCTATAAGCTATTGAAGCTTACTATCCTTAACGTTATTTATATCTGTATTTACTATTCCATTCTCATGTAAACACGCGAGAAAAAAAAAAAAAAAGAACGAAATTTAGCTTCGGAGATTCGGGGAGCTTCCAAGAGCACGTCCGATCAGTCCAAAAGCCGCTAGCCTCGCCGTTGACGGTTATGTGTGTTCTGCGTCCCTTTCTTAGTTGTTTACTTTTTCGGTAAGAGCGTCCTTTTTTAACTCACCCTGAATCAACCTCTCCTTTTCCAAGGTATCCTGCTGGAATGCAGCCAGTGGTTGTGACTTCGAAGGTCCGACTTCTGGGCTCCTGGAACACTACAACCAGTGCACTTTCCACACCGTGTCCTGCCCCAGGTGCCAGTTGTCATTGCTCAGGAAGGAAATTGTAAGGCACTACAAGGAGGGCTGCAGCGTCTCTCTCACTACACCTGCGGCTGATACAATCTGTGGAAATCTGGATTATGATGATATAAAACAGACAAGTGTTGACCTGAAAAGGGGAATGTTGAAGATATCTGAGGAGCTTTCCTGTCTGCAAACTAGCTTTAATCAGTGCCGTGAAGATCTCCGAACAACGGAGCGAAAGACCAACGAGCAGTTAGCAGCACAATCGTCGACACTTTCCGAGCAGATCACCAGAGTCTTCGTAGGGACTCGTGAATTGCTTTCTACTAAACTGCTCAAGATCTCCGAAGAATTGTCAGGTTTACAAGCTTGCCTCAGCGTGTGCGGTGCGGATGTCAGGAAGGCAGGAAGAAGGACAAAGGAACAGTTGGAATCTCAATCGTCGATACTTTCCGACCAGTTCACCAGACTCTTCACTCAATGCTCTAACCAGATAACTGGCGTCAAATCTGCTATTACAACCGCAATGCAGGCCCACCTGGCCGAAGAGCTGCGTAAACAGAACGAAAAACTGATCAGCGCCACACAGAGTGCGTGTGACGGCGCGATTAGTTTTTATAGGCCTGAGACGTATTACTGGCACTTTAAAGGTTGGGAAGCCTTGAAGACAAAGGCGTCGAAAAAAGGAAAAGAAGATGCTAAAAGTTCCCCTCTCTACGCATGTGGCTACAGGTTGTTTCCCTCGATCATTCTTATCAAGATAGATGGGCAGTTGTGTTTAGGAATTGACCTCAGTATAATCCCGGGAGCCAACGATTCAAGACTTGAATGGCCCTTCAGAAAGACTTACACGCTCGGTATCGTCAATACCAAGGACAAAGCAAGGAATATAATTCATAAGGTAGAGGCTAGTAAATTTCCAGCATGTTCTTCTTTTCAGAAGCCAGATGCAGCGGGCAATTTTTGTTTTGGGACTGGTGACTTGTATGCCGCTGACAAGATGGAAAGTGATGGGTTTGTTAGCAACGACACCATGATCTTTTTCTTTCAAGTCGAACCGTAGAACCGAACCGAATTATTGAGACAAAAAACAAACCACAACTAGGATCGACGTTTGTTCCTTGTATAAATATTAAAGTAGTTCTACAAAATAAAGAGATGCAAGCGTTTTTGTTCTTGTTTTTCTGAAAAATAACAACATGGGAGAACGCGGTGTATACTTTTGTATCTCTTTGTATATTCAAATATTCAAATAATTCTAAGCACAGTGTCTTGGCATTACGACGTAGAATGTCTAACTTTAAAACGGCGCGTAGTTTCACGGACGATCACTTTCACACGGCGCGTTGAAGTGTGAATTCGCACGTATCTCCTAAAATATACCGCACTTTCTACAGATCTGCGGTGGGGCAAGACGCACCCGCAAATAGAAAAAACATTCTTGTTCTGACATTTTGCGATCAAGAGATCGCGCCGCTTCCAGAATGCACGGTGCGTACGAATCGGCCCAAGCGTACATCGGAACTGCCCCACAATTCCACACGCCGCGGGTGGTGCAATGTGGGGACGCAGAGTAATGTTTGTGTTTTATTTTGTAAATTTAGCGTGAAACAAAATTTCAGCGACAGTAATACCGACAGACTTCAGTGTGCCGTGGCGACCAGCTGCGCTAACAGCATGCTAGAATTTAAAAGTCGCAATCTTGTGGGCAGAACAAAAGTCATAGTCGACTTATACTTCGAAAAAGCCTTAGATGCCTGAAAAGTGTCCACGTTCACAGCTGAATCACCCTTTTCGAACGCATGAAGTTTACTATTTGCAATGAAGAGACAATTTCGGCATATAATTTAAGGAAGTATATTGGACTGGTATCAAGGACTGTATTTTTAATTTCAACGACGACGTGATCACTCAATCACGTATATTATGTTAAACAGATAAATCACTTTGGTTAAACTTTCGGACGCCAATGCCTATTATTGAGGGCTGGCTTACTCGAAGTGAAGTCAAATGCAGTTCCTATGAATATCGAAAAAACACACTTCAATTTGGGGCCAGCTAGTCCCACAACCAAGTATTGACAATGCTTTTTGATACTACCTTAGTTGCAACTGGCCGGTTTCTCCTGGATCATGTCAGCCTGCGTATTCGACTGACACCTGTCAAGGTTTTCTACAATCTATTGCCTTATAAACCTAAATCGAATAACTAAGAATGAATGTGTGTGTGTGGGGGGGGGGGGGGGGAGATACAGAAAGAGAGAGATGTGGAGACAGCAACAGGGAGAACAAACACAAAGGCTTTATCTTCAGTTTTTGGATACCGTAACATACAATTTTGTTTTTCCTTTGACTCAGAATTTGATGCTAAAATAAACTCTTAATGGTCTACCAGCACGCAAGTGCTAATATTAAAAAGGTTTCAACGTGCTTCAAAATTATATTTATTTTCTTCTGAACCTCAATACGATTTCCTTTTCTGCTTGTTTTAATCTGAATTGGCGTGGCACCGGAGTGCTTTCGTGTACCACCACTGCAGGACGCATTAAAAATACCTCAAACTATAGTCGGTTACAAGTTAAGAAGGTAGTAGAAGCCCCTCCCCATAAGCGTGATGCGCCCGCTTCAGACGCCTCCGCAGTCGAGAAAATAGTTTGCTGAAAACGCCCCTTCTGCTTCAATGGATGGATATTGACTGCAGACAGAACTTTTAGCGGGCGGCAGCTTGCGCCACCTAGACGAGGCAAATTACTCGCTCCGGAAGGTTGACGTAAAAAGAAGGCTTCAGTGCAACGAAAATTGTAACTTTTATAAGTAATGCATATATGGTTCTTGGTTTTAGCTTGATAACCTTCCTACTCGAATTAGGTACATTCTGTGTATTTGCTGCGTTTGTTAAAAAAAAAAAAACCTGCGTTTCGGGTTTTGAAAGTTCCCGCAATTCGCGTCTTTACAATGCCGAAGTCGTCTTTCCTTTTCCCTTTTGAATTCCAACGTGGAGACAGCGAAATGCGATTCCTCCGAACGTTCTTCGTCAAGAGTGTCTGGTGCAGCCTCGCCTACGCCAACCGCCTACGCGGACAAAAGACCGGTGATTACCACGAGGAAATGGATGGCGCCCGCTTCGAGAAGTGGTTCGACGGTGTCCTCGACAAACTGCCGGCAGGAAGCGTTATCGTCATGGACAACGCTTCTTACCATTTACGGCGGTTGGAAGCAGTGCCGACGACGAGTTCCCGGAATGAAGATATCCGACAGTGGCTGACGTCTAAGAAAATGTCATGGGTCCCCAGGATGGTGAAGAAGCAGCTGCTCGACATTGTGGCCTTGGTGAAGCCACAGCACCTAAAGTCTCCTGTGGACACTGCTGCCGAGACAGCTGGCTGCACTGCGGTCAGGCTCCCACCGTATCACTGCGAGTTCAACCCCATTGAACTGATATGGGCGCAGATCAAGAACGGCGTTGCTGCCCGAAACACGACGTTCAAGATTGTCGACGTGGGGAGACTCCTCAACGAAGAAGTTGACAAGGTCACCACTGACAACTGGATTAATGCTGTCAGGCACGTTATTGACACTGAAACAACCTTCCGACGAGGCGGTGCCACAAGTGCCCACATCCAGCCCATCGTCATCCAGCTGGATGGAGAGGACACCCCATCCGAGAGTGACCTGTCTGGTGTCGAGCCCCTTGACGATGCTTAAGGCCACTATTATGGAGAAAGCGTGGAACATCTCGGAAAACAAAACGGTCCTTTTAAGGACCACTCATTTGCTTTAAGATCGGATTGTTGCTCTTGACCACCACTAACCTCCCGTGTCTCATGTTGTCATGCTTCTCTGCTCGTTGCCGTATAGCATTTCGATATGCAGTCACCAGACAAACTTTTTATTTTTGTTGCGATAATGTCTAAGCTGGTCTATACATTGCACTGTGCCATGAATCACCAGTATAGATTTCAACTTCACGAAAACAAAAGTTTGCAGCCCATCTACAGCAAAGACATCAGATGCCATATTGACCCTTCCCGCTGTCTAAACATCTTTGCTACGCAGCAAATGAAATTTTGATTGGAAATAAGCTCTGTTTTTTTTAAGAAAAACGACACAACATATCACTGCCAGTGCTCTGCTTTAAAGCATAAATGGGACGTCTCTGGCCATTTACAGGTCTGAGGCTTCTGGGAATAACAAAGCCGAGTGTTAGCACAGCGCAGAGCGAAATCGCAGTACCAGTACTCTGTTTCGAAGTCTAAAGGGAACGCCTATGGTCATTCACATGACCGAGGCCCCTCTGAAAACAACAATAATGTGTGTCAGCACTGTAGGCAGTTAACTCTTAATGCCAATGACCTGTTTCGAAGCATAAACTGGACGTCAGTGGCCATTCACACGACCGAGGCCACTCTGAGAATAACAATAACGTGCATCAGCGCTGCGTGCAGCTAACTCTAACTGCCAATGACCTGTTTCAAAGCATAAACTGGACGTCGGTGGCCATTCTCACGACCGAGGCCACCCTGGAAATAACAATACCTTGTGTTAGCACAGTGGAGAGCAAAATGCCAGTGCTAGTGCTCTGTTTCGAACCATAATGGGCGCGTCGAAAGTTCCCTTGAAGTCGACCGCCATTACGACTCTTGGGTCGCACTTTGGCGAGTTGGCCAACACCTCGTGGTGGATGAGGAGCAGGCTGCCCTGTGCGCCGAAGTGCGGTCTGAAGTAGTGCGGCATAGATTTCCTGAATTTAAAAGGCGCCATTGTACTCGCTGGAAATATATCGTAAAAACAGCACTAATTGCTTGACGTGAGAAAACGTCGGCTACAACATTGATGAAGGATTGGTGAGAGGACGGAGATCTGGGGAATGCCAATGCCAGTAACTGGGCCTAGCTCAAGCTTGATATTGTCCGTCTTGCAGAAAGGCTGTGATGAAGTGAAGCGGTCTTCCATAGAGACCTCAGTTTTGAACCTCCCGGACTAGTGCAATGTACAGGAATAAATCTAACGTTTTCAAAGCCGATAAGAATCACAATGCACAGATTGCAGCCAGACTTGTTGCCAAGGGCAGAGTTGTGAAGTACCGAAAGGTTGTTTTCGAGTGCTTGGGTGGCTTCTAAAGCTGCTTTAGAATGAATGGAGGTATTTCTGGGTTTTGTGATGCTATAGGCTGTAACAGGCGTAATCACATTTTCCGCTGGTGCCCCTGTAGTGCCCCCATCAGCTGGCCCAGAGGTCAACTATATAGTGCACATCACGATTTGGGGTCCTTTTTCGCACCCGGATCAAGTGGGTCGCCTCCTGGAAGGCCTGGGGATGTACTGTTGGAGCGAAATCGTAGGATTAGTCTAATGGGCTGCTAAGCAGTTATCCCATACGACAAATTATGCAGAGCCCTTTGAAGGCTGAGGTCTAAGGCTTGCAACGAGATCAGATAGGTAGGTGGTCGCTTCCCAGTGTCGGTGTGAGCTCGCCATACCATACCCCTCGGCTTGGGGAGCCCCACGTTAACCATCAGCTCTCAGGCCGGAGCCCGCTGTACTCGTCATACTTTTGCACCAATAACGCCGATAATGAGTCTATCTTGTCGAGCTCAGAACGATTTCAAATTTGCCTCATGGCCCCTTATCCAATTCCAGGTCGTGAACTTTAACAGCAGAGGGGCGTGAAATTCATTTTCTTCTTTGTTTAGAGTGCATTAGTTCTGGCAATGGGTATCTAAAAATGATGCCTGCGATAGTGTTTAAGTAACGCGGCTCGGGAACAGGCTTTTTGTGTGGTGCCACTCATTTCATCAAATGACATTTCCCCGACAGTTTGTTTGAACGCTGCGACGTTTTATCAACAGATTGTTTCATCGACACTCGCTCATCGACATATCTTGCTATGTTTCGTCGACAAAATCTTTGTTTGGTTAGGGGTGCGCTGCTTTGTTGGTGAGCAAGGGTACGGGTACATGCACGGGGGCAGGACCACCCTTACACGCTGCTGCGAAGCGGCGTGTACGGGTGGGCTGGGTGGGTCCACATTTTTGTAATGAACTGCTGGAAACTGTCGCCGTAAAGCGTCGTGAACTGGGTGGG